ATAACTTTTTTTTTATGGGTGATAATAGAATGGTAACCCCAGCCGCGCTATCGGTGTACACCGGCGGGGCACCAGTGAAGGATGATAGGTGAGGATGAAGCAAGTCAGTTAGCCCATCATGACGATTTCAACACAAATTGTTCACGATGGTTTCCCGGGGGAACCACGTGGAGGTCGACCTAATAGGACATATTGCTAGCAATGGGGCTGTCAAACTCCATTGCTAACAATTGTTTCCCCCCCGGTATAATAACTAAACTGAAGAAACTACAAGAGTACACAAAGACGAAAAGGAAATTGACAATTATAAAACAAGCAAAAAGAAAGATAAGCAAGCTAAAGTGGCAATGGGCTGGTCATATAGCTCGAAGAATCAATAACCGATAGGAAAGATAAGTCATTGAGTGGCGACCCCGTACGGGCAAACGCAGTGTAGGACGACCCCCCATTAGATGGAGTGACGACCTGAACTGTATTGCAGGGAGCTAGTCAATGCAGGTGGCTCAGGACCGTTCTGCAACTATATGTGGTAGACAGGTCTGCAACTATACTAATTTTGAAAAATAATAAATGAAAAGAAGTAGGTAGCGCTTATTTCATCCTAATTGCAAATGAAGACTGTGCCAATAGCGTTTCAAATCATTAGAATGATTTTTGAAATAATTGAAATAGGATCAGATCGAATAAACATCAAATGATGTATTAGCTAATATTTGTTTTCAAAAAATATGTACATATAAAGTCCAGTTAATAGTACATTACTGCAGCGGCCAGCAACTGAGGCATTGATGGACGAACGTACAAATGTGGGCCGAGGCGTTGCCGAGGCACACATACGTGAGTCCATCAATGCCTAGTTGTGGCCAAGGCCTGTATAGTACTTTTCTCAAACAATGCGCGGAAATCAAAAACACAATTTTACTTTTTAAGTTCAATGACGAATAACGAACAATAATAATTTTTCACGCGCCATAATGTTCCTTTTTTTTTTTTCAATAAACAGCTTTCTATTTGTAAGCCAGTTCGAAATTTAAATATAGTATATTATAGGTTTAGTCCTGTTTCTTGAGTGCTATTGAGTGGTGACCCCACTGAAAATCAGCGCTGCAGCACCACACTGCAGCTTAAGCTGAGTGGAGACCATTTCAGCTGTTACCACTGATTTATTATTTTAATATATAAAGTTGACATTATTATTGTTATGTTTTTTACTTACTATTATTATTAAACGTACCTTCACAAAACTACAATTCTTCAATAGGGGAGTAAAGAGGTTTCTTCAGAGTCGGCAACGCGCGCACCCCCTCTGGTATTGCAGGCATTCATAAGCTTGCTTGATTGTTTGCCACCTCAGTGGTATAAAAAAAACAATAACGTTTAATAATATTGTCTATGAGTAATGAGACATAAATGACACAAGTAATTTATTATTATTATTTTTGACAAGCATAGATATATAATAGGAGTTCCAGCTCGTAGAATAAGCGAATAAATCCTTTTGGTTTAGTGCATAAACGCTGACATCATTTTTCAACTATTATTCCTATAATATACTTATTTCTAAGTGCTATCGTTTCTACCATTTGTTCGTCGAAGTAATGCCTCAAATTATGTTTAAAACGATATGAATTCAAATCTTCATCTACTTTGAAATTATTTCTGTCACATAAAAAAAGAATATTAAAAAAAAACTTATATTTGACCAATTTAAAGTGATGCAAAACAGGAATTTTGAAAAGATTTTGAAAAGATCTTACCTAGCAATGACGCATAGATTAATAATGAAATAAAATAATTTACATATTTTAAGAGTATGTTCCATATACAATCAAAGATTACGTACTTATATTTCAATGGGAACATTGAAAGAAAATATAAAATATATAAATTTATCTAAAACCCAAAACTGACTTCTGTTAATATTGTAGACGTGCCAGCTTAAACAATCCATGCTGAAGAAGCCTGTTAGCCATATCAGACTGATTTCCTTTCACTTAGAATACTTGACTAAAAATTTTGAAAATCCATAGACAACAAAGCCATTATCGCGTTGCGGTAATGAAGTTATAACGAGTTAATTCGACAAAGGATGACAAATCTGATAATGTACCACTAAGCTTTTAAGATGTTTTCGTCAATTAAAAGATTTTCTCTAGCACTTAGCTGCTTTTAAACTAAATGACAGATTCTGTTAATCGAGTTAAACATTAAAGACGCCATTTTGGTTATTATGGTATGGCGGGAAAGTTAAGTGCACACAACTGTCAAGATTTATTTACATATTTCATTTACGGATGGGTGATGTCCTTTCCGACATTTTGACGTTGTAATTCAATTAATAATTTAATTGCAAGTGGATTTCATAGAATTAAAATTGTTCTAGTTTGCTGCCATTCTTCATAATACTATTATTATTCTATTACATGTATCATGCTTAGATAGAATATTGAGTGTCAAAATTTAATAACCTAAAGTGACATTTGCCTAACATATTTTTTTTAAACCAACAGAAAACGCGCCATTTTTCAGTGTCGCAAGTAATTGGATTAAAAAATTCCGTTAGTAGTGGGGGCATTAATCCTCATGCTAACAATATACCGTCATATAGACCTCTACGCGGTTCCCCCTGGTAACCATCGTGACTAATTCTTCTTACTGGATGTACTAACGGACCTGGTTTCATCCTTACCTAATATCACCAGTCACTGGTATCCCGCCAGCGTATACCAATGGCGCAAACGAATATACCACTTCATTATTATCCAATAAATGCCTATGGCCCATTCCATAAACATATCGTAATGTATGGAATATTGTTTTAAATATTGTATCTTATATTAGCACGTAACAATTATTGTAAAAAGACATTATAGTCAGTTAAGAGTATTCATCATGTAAACCTTAAGTATTTATTTTTTATTTTTATTTCAGTCGTTAACTGTCCACTACTGGGCATAAGTCTTCCACATAAGGGGAGTTTTGACAGTAGGTGACACACTTGATAGGCGAGTTGGCAACCGCAGTTAGGCTTTTAGAGATGTTTTAAAAGGGACGCTGCTGCCCATCTCTCGCCCTCCCTTAGTCGCCTCTTACGACACCCACGAGTCCATTCTATGCCGGGACCTACACGGCAATACTTAAACCAGGGGGGAAAGGGATTGTTAGTAATGCGGACTATCAGTTAAATTGCTAGCAATATGCCCTAAAAGGTCGAACTCCGCGTGGTCCCCCCTGGAAACCATCGTGCTGAATTCCTGGTGTTTTCATCACGATGGGCTGACCTGCCATTTCATTCTCACCTATCACCTCTCACTGATGTCCCGCCTATGTATACTGTTAGCGCAGACGGGGTTACCATTGTATTTTCATCCATTAAAAGAATACTTAAAACGGCAACCTTAAGTATATCTACTATTTTGCAACTATCAATTTGTCGTCATCCGTGGCGCAGCGGTCAACACGCCTGCCTGCGACGTGGAGGCCCCGGGTTCAATCCCCGGCCAAGTCATGATGGAAAACGATCTTTTCCTGATTGGCCTGGGTCTTAGATGTTTATCTATATATGTATCTATTATAAATATAATATCGTTGAATTAGTATCCCATAACACAAGTCTCAAACTCACTTTGGGGCTAGCTCAATCTGTGTGATTTGTCCGTATATATTTATATTTATTTATTTATCAATGAATGTGTCTCCCTCACAGCAATGAATCCTACATCCATTCGGGTCCAACGAGTTTCTACTAGTAATAATTACTAAACGGAATCCAATATGCTCAGTACTGCCAAAGGCTTAGACTTAATTAAGATTCATGCATCTCGGGCTAGCTATGTCTAACAAATACTAGTCATGTCTAGGATTTGGCATCTCACAGCTTTTGTTAACAAAATATGTATAAAATGTATACAATAAACGCCGATTCGCATTGTAAGAAATGAGTCGATACAGCTCCTTGATGTAAAATGATAACCGTGGCCTAAAGGGAGGAAAGGGATTATTAGTAATGGGCTCTAATTGACCCATTACTAGCAATACATCTTATCAGTTCTTCCTCCACGCAGTTCGCCAAGGAAACCATTTTGGTTAATTCTATTGGAATTCGTCAGTACCCCGCCACAGCGTATACCGATAGTGCAGAGGGGGTTACCGTTCCATTATGGCCCCTTAAAGAAACCGTGGCCTAAAAAAAATAAAATATATATATATATATATATATATATATATATATATATATATATATATATATATATATAACACATAATGATAGGTAAGTTCGGAGAACGGGATGGGATTATTAGCAACACCAACTCCACGTGGTCCCCCTGGGAACCAACGGTGCTGAATTCCAGGTGGATTCATCACGATGGGCTAACTGACCTGCCTTTCATCATCATTGGTAGTGTATACACCCCTTGCGGTGTAGGTCCCCATTCCAGGCGTGGTTACCATTCCATTATCATGCATTACAAAATTTTACCAGAGGTAGACTTTGTACGAAAGTCGATTGCTTGGGTACCTCTATCTCATTCGTGTTTCTACCGTGAAGCAGTTGTGTTTGCATGACTGTGTTTCGGTTTGAAGGGAGGGTAAATTAACAGGATACAGAGGAATAACATCTGAGTCCTCAGGAATGACAACGCATGAGGGTATTATGGGCGAAACAGTATACTCTGTTATGTCCATGGTACTGCTCATGTCTATAGGTGACGGTTACCACTTTCCATCAGGTGGGCCGTCAGCTTGTTTGCCATTCTAAGTTGTATAGAAAAAAAAAATGTGATACATTAAATTTGCATTACATAACCTCGAAATTTCTATAAAATTAAAAAACTTATTTTGCAAATCAACTACCTACTTGTACTATTTAAACGTAAATAATATACTTATTTTCTTTACGATTGTAAAAACACTCGAGGAAAAAAACAAATTACTTAAAAGAAAATATAAGCCGCTTTAACGTTGTTTCCGAACGATTTTCGACTCCGGCCATGTTGTCATGGCGACGCATTATAAAAACAAAATAACGCTTTTGCAAAATACCTTTTGATATCTCCTATAGAATATGCCTAAAAGTAAAATCAGCGCTGTGTGGGAAGACAGGGAGGTCCTTTTCGACCTCCCGTTCTCGTAAGTAACATTTATTTCATTTATTCTTTAGTACAGGACATATGTACAGGGTGGACTTATGTTAAAAAAAATAGTTATATAGATATAGTTCATTGTATAGATTAACCCTGTTCGCCGCACCATAACTGTAAAATTACTTGCTTTGACTTCCACGAGACAGGCTTTGCCTAGTGTGGGGTCATAGCTATATTGTACCATAGGCTTATTTTGTTCAAGGAAATAAAGATATTCTTATTCTTATTTATATAAGAGATTTATTTAAGTAATTTTTGACTATTATATTATGAATATTCAAAAATACTAATTATTAAGTTCACTTCAATAAAAAATTTTTTTTATTTTATTTTTTATTTTAGTCTCGCTAAAACTCGGAAATAATTTAACCGATTTGAATATTTTTTTTTGTTTTGTTCATTATAATACAGAGGTGGTCTAAAAGAAAAGACGGAAAAACCATAAAGTTGAAAGATCGAAAAATTTTAAATAGTTAATTTTGTATGAGAATCGCTACTTCGGATTACGAGTATTTTTAATAGATAACGTTGTTCACTGGAGTATATAATATTTTTCAGTACCTAATATAAATATTTTGATCGCTTTGTGGTCCCGGCATAGAATAAATAAACCACCCCTCCTTTTCCGTGGGTGTCGTAAGAGGTGACTAAGGGAGCGCGAGGGATGGGCAGCAGCATCCTTCTTAAAACATCTCTAAAAGCCTAACTGCGGCAACTACTGGCAAAACTCACATTATGAAGAAGCCTTGTATTCAGTAAGTCGTCTATTAACGGCTGAAATAATAAAAATAATAAGTAAATATAAATATTATGTATTTTTCAGAATGTCCATAAGTACGTATTTAATTTTTTTTTTTTAGGTATTTAAAATTAAGACCCGGCGAAAAAATATTCGACAGAATTGAACCTATAGAAGACACGAAAGGAAACAGCGGAACCAAAGGGAGAATGGTGGTCACCAATTTAAGGATAATTTGGCACTCATTGGCATCGCCCAGAATTAATTTGTGTAAGATGCATTTCAATTATTGGCGTATTTAGAGGGGAGCCAGGGGATCGTACCTACAAAAGAATTTAAGGTGTGAATTTACAGGGTACAGAGGAACAACACCTGAGTCCTCAGGAATGGCAACGTATAGGTGGTATCATGGGCCAAAGAGTATACTCTGTTATGTCCATGGTACTGCTCATGTCTATAAGCGACGGTTACCACTTTCCATCAGATGGACCGTCAGCTTGTTTGCCATTCTAAGTTGTATAAAAAAAAATAGAATCGTCTGATGCTCACCCCAGGATGCGAGTAAAACTTCGCAAAGACATATATCTGAGAGTATATACGACTTTTTTAGACCTGCCAAGCATGGTAATGCTGTCAAAACCTGGGAAGGCTTATGTTCAGCAGTGGATAGTTAACAGCTTATATTGAAGGAGAAGGTTGCCGAAGACTGGAAAGATACCAAACTCCCATGTTTTAAAAATCTAAGGCAGTGGCTTGAATGAGCACCAGATCCCTTTTCAGGATGACGGTGGACAAAGACGCCATGATGATTACCAACCTTCGGTAGGAGATGACTCCTTAAGAAGAAGATAATGATTATTATTATTAAAAGACAGAAAAACCTATGACACTGCGAATTCCATGATCTTTTGTGCTCGCTCTTTTTTAAAGTTCCTTGCTAATTTCTATCAATAACAGGAATTTTATGATGTTTGTATCTCCTCAAGATATAAAATTTGTTTTCCAAAAGAGATATATTGATTATGTATGAGTGGGCTTTAAGTCCTGCGGCGTTTCTTCCTCGTTGTGACAAAATCTGCAAACACTTTTGGGCATAAACCTAATTGGGCCATATGCTTGTTTAGTTTGCAGTGTCCAGTGAGAGCCCTTGTTAATACACACATTTGCTTTTACTCAAAAAAAAAGTAATTTCTTAGAGTAAGTTTTAGAAAATATTTTAATCAGGGCTTTCGAGTGATTTAATCCTGGCATCAGAAGCCAGCTATTATTCTACCTTAGGTTATATTATTTGTAATTTCTTACCGATCTCTAATTTTTTTTTTCAAAATTATATACGAGTATAGCGTACTCTCTCATAATGTCAGATCCTATTATGTTAGCTACCACTTTTTACTATCTGAAATCATCGAAATTCATGTGGAATTCATCACGATGGGCTAACTGACTTACTTTCGACCCTACCTATTATTTAATGATAATGATTCTATTCTACTGTAAACCTTTTCTTCCAGCCATCGGTCTGAACTGCATATTGTCGACTAGTACAAAAATAGTAAATTCAGGGCTAAGAGGCACCACTCAAGCCCTGTACGTACTGGCCGCGTATAAGACCAGCCGATACGAATTCATATTTACGAACCTGTCACCCAACTCTATCAGACATTATACGTCTGTTGTCGGCGTGCATAAGTAAGATTTTTTTTTTTATATATATATCAAATATATTTATTTCCATATAAGTTATACAAATATACTTAGACGACATGTTTGATTTCCAAGATTTACGAGTGTGATTTATTCTAAGAATGACATCTTATATCTTGTATGTTTTATTTAATGGATGATAATGGAATGGTAACCTCGCCTGCGCTATTAGTATACACTGGCGGGGCACCAGTGAGAGGTGATAGATGAGGATGAAGCAGGTCAGTTAGCCCACTGTGACAAATCTATCACAATGGTTTCCAGGGGAAACCACGTGGAGGTCGATCTGACAGGGTATATTGTTAGCAATAGGGCTACTAATCCCCATTACTAAGAATCCCTTCTCCCCCCTATCTTGTATATTAGCTCCATTGCGTTTATCTATATTCATGCTAAGTTCCTTGTAGAGTAAACAGAGAGTTCTGAGGAACGCCAGTACTAGAGACTCGAAATGTCGTAAAATGTGACTAGGGGAACTTAATGGTAGAGCTATGGGCAGCGGCGTTTCTTTTAAAACATCATCAAAACCTAACTGCTGTTGCCAACCCGCCTACCAAGCGTGGTAACTATTGACAAAATTTCCCATATGAAGGAGACTTAAGATCAGCAGTGGGCAGTTAATCGGCTGATATAATAATAGTAATTAGCGAAGTAACCATTTCAATTACATTCTCTTAAAAAAAAGTGTATGTAGTGTATGTATGTCTTTAAGTAACAACGTCAGGATTACGCGTCGTTTCATGAATAGATTTTTCTTTTTAATTTCTTTTTACACTCTGACAGTGGCAAACAACCATGTCTCATCCGACAGGAAACCGTTACCATTAACAGAAGTGTTGCGTGCGCGTGTTCCCGACCCTTGGGAAAGCTTATTACGCCCTTTTTAAAGAACCCCATGCTGTAGTCTCTAGGGATAAGGTCAGCGGGAAACTCGTTTCAGCATCATTCTAATTAGATTCGGTAACGTAATACAGTCAGCATAATTAATCCCTGTAATACTTGGGCGCTCAGTACGTGTTTTGTTTCGCCAATGTTCCAGGGCATACGCCAATTCTAGAATGTACAGAGACCTCAAACTTCGCGGTGCTATTGTGCACAACAAACAGTTACGCATGTTACCTCTCGAGAAAGTAAGTGTCATGTTTCCTTTTCAACCGACTTTAAAGAAGGAGGTTCTAAATTCGGTTGTATGGTTTTTTTTATGTTTGTCACCTCATAACTCCGTCAGTTGTAAACCGATTTGGAAAATTCTATTTTTTAACTGAAACGGTAAGCTTACAGATTAATTCTATAGAAATTTTATCAAAATCGATTCAGTAATTTGTTTTTAAATCAAAATAATTGGTGTTTCCATAACTGAAGTCGGTTTTTTTTAACACAATTTAATTATTTGTTAATCAGGCACCTTTCTTTTCTACAAAGAAAGGTTTTTCAATGGATGATAATGGAATGGTAACACCGCCTGCACTAACAGAATACACTGACGGAGCACCAGTGAGGGATGATGGGTGAGAATTAAAGGACCGGTCAGTTAGCCCATCGTGATGAATACACCTGGAATTCAACACGATAATTTCTAGGGGGAACCGCAAGGAGGTCCACCTGATAAGGTGTATTGCTAACAATGGGGCTACTTATCCCCATTTATAACAATCCACTATTCCCCCTCCGCCCCGCATGCACAAGTTTTCCCTTCTTTAACGACGAACAATAACAAGATGCAATTTGATGCCATTTGCTTCTGATCTTACATGTTTTTTTTATATTATTTAAAAGCAAAATAAACTGACGCCGCATCTGATGAGACGTGGTGACTGTCGCCTACAAACATGAACAGCATAACGGGCGTCACAGAATATACTGTAACACCAACGGTAACGAGACAGAAATAGCAATATAGACATGTTTAAATGAAATATTACTTCCTTCCATCTGTAGATTAGTCTCAATGAGCACAGCATCTGGAACTTGTCGACTGACTCCGGCAACCTCGGCACGATGCTGGTGACGAATGTACGCGTCGTCTGGTACGCAGACGTGAACGAGGCCTTCAATGTATCCATGCCATACATCACCATTGAAAGCGTATGTATCTTCACCGTGTCATTTTGGTTTGAATCCTTTTTTATACAACTTAAAAATAACAAACTAATTAACGGCTCACCTGAAGATCAAAAACACATGGTTTATGTGTAACGATCAAAAAGAGCTAAGATTTCGAATCTACTCCTTGGATAAAGTAGTTCAGTTTCTTAAATAACAAAAAATATGTATAAACGATTCTTTCTTTTCTGCTTTCTCTGTCAGGGCCTTGTTGTGATGGATAGGTCTTGATAGTACGGTTGACTATACAGAAAAGATAAGGAGCAATGCTCTCATGACCCTTTTCGTCCTCAGAGGTCTCAATACGTAGAGGTCATAATGTATTCTACAATATCCATGATTCTACTCAAGACATTTGCTATTACTTTCTATCAGATGAGCCGTTAGCTTGGTTGCCATTTTCTTTTTCTTTTACAACACAGGGGGCAAACGAGCATGCGGCTCATCTGGTGGTAAGTGACTACCGCCACCCATGATCACCCACAACACCAAAGGCATTGCAGGTGTGCTGCCGGCCTTTTAAAAAGGAATATGCTCCTTTCTTGAAGGTTATGTTGTCGTAACCGTTCGAAAATACTGGAAGTTGATTCCAAAGAGTGGTTGTGCGTGGAATAAAGTGCCTTGAAAAACGCACGGTGGAGGACCGCCACTCGTCCAGATGGTTGGGATGAAATTTTAGTTTATGGCGGGTAGTACGATGGTGAATATCAGCAGCAGGTATATCAATCCGAACACTTCGTCAGCGCACTCCCCATGATAAATTCGATAGAAGATACACAGAGATGCAACATCTCTACGCAGTCTCAGTGGGTCGAGCCGGACAGTAAGGCGCGCCAGGTCTCTCTGTATAAAAAATAACCTGTCCTCCTCCATCCCTTTTACATAGTATGTGTATCAAATTTCATAGAGATTGGTTAAGCTGTTAAGGCGCAAAGAGATAATATATAAACACATTTTCAAATTTATAATATTAGTAACAATTAGTAAGGATTAACTTCTTTGTCATTATCACTAGGTATCAGTTCGCGACTCCAAATTTGGCGAAGCCCTTGTGTTCGTCGTCCGTCCGACGTCCGGTGGTTACGTGCTGGGCTTCAGAGCAGACCCTCCAAACAGACTGCGTCCACTACTGGCCGAACTGCAAGCTCTGCACCAAGCTTACTCTGAGAGACCAGTATTTGGAGTCGAGATGACTTGGGACCATGAGGTAATTACGATCATTGAACAGAACTTATAAAATATATCATCATCATTTTCCTACCCTTATCCCAATTATTATTTGGGGTCGGTATAATATGTTTTTCTTTTTCATTCTTCTCTATTCCCAATCATTTTCGCATTCACTCCCAATGTGGCCATATCATCTTTCACACAAGGCATCCATGTCTTTAAAAAACTTATTAAAAATATAAACAGACGAATGGTATGGTCTGAGAGACTTTGTAAAAATTTCTACTAACTGATACTTCTGTCCGTCTTATAGATATGATCTTTATGCAGTTATCTTCTGTTCTGTTAATTTTTTTTTAGTTGATCCAGTAAGCTATAATGTTAATGATGAAATAGATATAACTAAACGCAATGGTTTAAAAGTAACTGAGGTGATTAAGAGAGTAGTGATGCAAAATGATAACCGCCACATATATAACACTTTACTTGACTATAAATTTATCTTCCAGTGCCCAAAATCAATAACAGACGACATAGATGAATTGGAAGAAATCGGCGAACCCCGCGGCGAAATGGGACCAAATTTATACTTGGCGTCACAACTAGCTCAGAACAAGCCAGAAGGCGAACTGCAACCGATGTACAGTTCTTATTTAGGACTGGCTATAGAACCGTTGAAGGAGGGATTCACATTAAAAAGTTTATTTGAAGTACAATCTACCTCATAATAGTGAAGTTGAAGAGGACTGTATACAACTGTACTGTACTGTTATTTACCAATTGTACCATAGATTAAGAATACCACACCCTATTACCCGTTAACTGTCCACTGCTGAACATAAGCCTCTGCCATAAGAGGGATTTTGCCAGCAGTTACCACGCTTAGCAGGCGGGTTGACAACCGCACATGTACACCTTTCTTAAGAGTCCAGAGTTTAGAAGAAAATAACCTTAAACACGCCGTCTACATGTTTCTATTTAATCACAGATATATTATGTTGGAAATAAATATTTTGAAATTTTCATTATTTATTTATTTAACTTGAAAATATCTAAATAACTACAGTGTAAAAACCATTTTGGAAAAAGATCTAAATGGAATAGGGACAAGATATATTTAGGGTGAAGGGTGAAGACCAAAGATGTTAATCCTATTGGTGATAAAGACAATTTAAAAAATAACTTTTGGATAAAGAACGAAAACAGAAATCTACGTACCACCATAAACTTAATATAACGTACTAAGCATACCACGATGTCCCTTAAAACGCGCGGCCGTGGCCAGTAGCCCACGTCACATTTGCCTTACACCTATGGTTCAAGTTTTATATTTCATGTACTCTTAATCTTTCTAAACAACCCGTTGGCGCCCACTGTTGGGCAAGGAAATAAAAAATGGCCATCGGCCATGATATACCATGCAAGCCAAGCGTCTCAGTTTAGTTGATATTTTTGCTACAAAATGCTAAACGTAATTTTTATTATTTATTTTACTAAATAACTGTAGATTACAATAACATGATCTGCCTACGTCGTCGTCTTACGCGCAAACTAGACTTTACCGCAAAAAAGACGCCGTTTGTCGTATCTCCTCACTTTCAGGGCACTTCCCTTGATAAAAAGTCGAGTCTAGGAATTCTGGGCGTTGATATATCTTGCGACGTCCAGTTTTGCGGTCATCTGGAGGAGAAGGCTAAGATAGCTTCCAAAAAGTTAGGAGTGCTCAATAGGGTGAGACGATATTTCATGCCAGAACACCGCCTGAAATTATATAAAGCCCAAGTCAGGCCGCATATGGAATACTGTTCTCACCTGTGGGCAGGAGCGCCACAGTACCAACTCCTTCCGTTAGACCGCATTCAAAGTCGGGCGGCTCGAATTATCGATAGTCAACGCCTTACTGTCCGACTTGACCCACTGAAACTGCGCAGAGATGTTGCATCTCTGTGCATCTTCTACCGAATTTATCATGGGGAGTGTTCTGAGGAATTGTTCGGATTGATACCTGCTGCTGATTTTCACCACCGTACAACCCGCCACAAACTAAAGTTTCATCCCAATCATCTGGACGAGTGGCGGTCTTCCACCGTGCGTTTTTCAAGGCACTTTCTTCCACGCACAACCATTCTTTGGAATCAACTTCCAGCAGCAGTATTTCCGAACCGATACGACAACGTAACCTTCAAGAAAAGAGTATATTCCTTTTTAAAAGGCCGGCAGCACACCTGCAATGCCGCTGGTGTTGTGGGTGATCATGGGCGGCGGTAGTCACTTACCATCAGGTGAGCCGCATGCTCGTTTGCCCCCTGTGTTGTAAAAAAAAAAAACTCAACGACTTCTAGTCACCCTAACAAGCTGGCTTCCGAAAGGGCTTTAGCACCATAGACCACATACATACACTATGGCATGTTATACAGAAAACCAAAAAGGAATCTGCCACTAAGTTTAGCGTTTGTCGATTTGCAGATTATAAAGTAATCGTGGCGGAATCCTTGGAGGATCTGAATACTAAGCTCAATGACCTCAATCGTATTTCTCAACAGGTAGCTTTTAAGATGAAGATGGCCAGCACACCTATACTGATCGAGAATATTACGCTCGCAGTTGTCGACGAGTATGTATACCTAGGACAAGTTCTTCAAATGGCTAAGTCTAATTTTGACTAAGAGGGTAATCAACGAATCCAACTCGACTGGTCAGCGTTCAGAAAACTACGCCACATTTTTTCATCCAAAAAAATTCAGTTTGAAGACCGAGGTCTTTAACAAGTGCATGTTGCCAGTGATGACTTTTGCAACTAAAACATGGCTCTATACGATTGCCCATTTCCAAAAGCTTCAAATTGCTCAGCGGGTTATGGAGAGGACTATGCTCGAGGTTTTTTTGGACAATGGGCTGAGTGGCAATGGATTGGTTACATAGCTCGAAAAACTAACAACCGATGGGGAAGAAAAGTTCTTAAGTGACGACTCCGTATGAGCGCAGTGTAGAACGAACCCCCCCCCCCCCTTCTAAATAGAGTGATGACCTGCAATGCATTGCAGGGACTCAGTGAATGCAGGCGGCTCAGGATCGTTACTTACGGCAGTCTATGGGGGAGGCTTATGTCCAGCAGTGGATGGATGATGGCTAAAATGATGATGATGATGATCTGCCTACCTTAATGAGAGAGAGGCGTGGTAGATATATATGCATCTAAGTTTGTATGTATGAATTTCTGAACGAAAATATTACCGAAAATCCCGCATGATTGACAGTTCAAGTATGTCATTGTCAAGAAAAAGGCGGGAAACTCGAATAAGAACAAGCGGGTTTTTTAAATTTTTTTTATTAATTTATAAAAACTATCTCTATCAATTCTTATTATTGAATAAAATATTATATTTTCACTAAATTCAGTGACAGTAATATAATTAGCATTCATGGGGAAGCGCAGTTGTAGGAAAAGGAAAAAAAAAGATGACGATTCAGGTGATGTAGACCATGAACCTTGTAATGACAAGGATATATATTCGGAAGATACTTCTACTGACTCAGAATCTGAAATTGATAAGGCCGATAAGTATAAACCTTACTACGTCACAGATTATATTAGAAGATATCCCGAGGAATCCCCTGGGACAGAATTTGTTGTCTTTGTAGAATCCTCAGATAGTCAGAAAACCATTGGATCCAGAGACTTGCTCTCACTCTCCTCCTGTTTAAAACGATTTAATAAAGGGGTAACTTATCTTAGATCTATAAATAAATTCAAAATCGGAGTATACTTTCAAAAGCCAGACTTAGCCAATGCTTTTTTAAATAATAAAACTTTTTTAAATGACTACCATTTTAAGGCCAGTATTCCTGCTTCTTCAACAGAAGTTACAGGCGTTATTAGAAATGTACCTACAAATATATCTAATAAAAAAATATATACTATGATATCGAGTTCTAAGAAAATTATTGCTATTAAAAGAATTTTAAGAAAAAATACCTTGACTCATGGATATGTGTTACAGCCAACTCTAACCGTGACAATTACTTTTGCTGCATCTGTATTACCTGAATATCTGGATATTGGAGGTTGGCGCCACAATGTCACTCCATATATACCACCAGTTAAACAATGCTACCGGTGCTTGAGGTATGGACATTTAGCTAAATTCTGTAAGAATTCTGAGCGTTGCAGCATCTGCAAAGGTGAGCATAATTATAAAACTTGTACAACTGGAATGGAAAACGCTATTTGTGTACACTGCAATGGAAATCACACAAGTGTATCACCGCAATGCCCTGTTAAACAAAAGAAAATTGCTGAAAATAGATCTAAATTCAGACCTGCTTCTTTTGGAGATATACTTAGCACTGAAATATTTCCTAAACTGGGTAACAAACCTAAAAAAAATGTAGACCTAATTTCAATTCTAAATTCTGATAACAAGAGTTTATCACTTTTAATAGAAAGCATAATCAAACTTATTTCACTACATAACACAAAGAACACATCTATTAACACTAAAAGTGTTTTGAATGTGTTATATGATACTTTTGGTAATACACCTATTTCACAAAATTCAATCGAGACCAATTAACTATCATACAGTGGAACGCTCAGAGCCTACTGAGCAATCGACTTATTTTTACACAATTTTTAAATGAACATCATATTCACATTGCTCTCATCTCAGAAACTTGGCTAAAACCACATTACAAATTAAAAATTAAAGATTATTGTATAGAACGAAATGATTGTGGTAATAATCACAATGGAGTAGCGATTATTATACATAATAGTATTAGATATAAAAAACTTCACTCTTTTTTCGACAATTCTTTGCAAACTATAGCTATTAGTATTGAAGTTAATAATTCTTGGTATTCAGTTGCCAGTATTTACTGTCCTACCAATAGTACACCTAGTTTTACTAAAGCCAAATTTAAGTTCTTTTTGGAGTCTCTTCCTAAACCCACTATCATATCTGGAGATTTAAATGCACATCATACTATGTGGGGTTGTACCTCCACTAATACAAGAGGTAAAGACATTCTTGATTGTTTAGATGAATGTAATTTGGTACTATTAAATGATAAGCAAGTTACTACTGTTGGCTCTCATATTTGGAGACCCAATGGCCTTGATTTAACTATGGTATCCCCATCCATATCATTAAAATGCGAGTGGTCGGTTCATGATGATCCGTTAGGAAGTTATCACCTGCCGACTTTTACTAAAATAAACACAAAGAACTCTTCATCAACTCCGTCAGGTGAACAACATGCTCCTATAGATGAAGTTAATAAACTTTTGTTAAATCGTATAAACCTACGTCTCGTTAATTGGGATCTTTATTCTGAAACTGTTAATCGATTACTTTTGGATTTCGAGTATGATGTCAATGAACCCTTAAACAATTACAATAGATTCTGTAAAATTATTTTGACAGCTGTGGAACGTTCCGTTCCACGTAGGAACTTATCAAATAGCGGTGCAAATACTTCAAAGAGGCACAAACATATTGCAGTACCTTGGTGGAATAACAGGTGTGCGACAGCTGTCAATGATAGTAAAGCGGCTTACCTTAGGTTTAAACAAAATCCAACTCTCGATAATTACATAAATTTTAAAAGAGTTCAAGCTGTTAAAAAGTTAGTAATTAAGCAAGTAAGACAACAGGGGTGGCAGGAATTTTGTTCCAAATTTAATAGATTAACACCAATTTCCACTGTTTGGCAAAATATGAGAAAACTAAATTCAAAACATCGTCAAAATCATTTTAAAGATATATCATGGGTCAATGATTTTTTACGCAAATATACTCCTGATTTTGTACACTCACCTTTTGATGACAAACAGTTTAATTCTGTTAATTCATGCCCAAAATTTCTCACTGACCCATTCTCAATTGATGAAATATCCAGTGCAGTAAAATCTAGAAAAGATACAGCTAGTGGCCTTGATCGCTTAACATACAATATGTTTCGATTGCTGAATAAAATAAACCTTACTAAACTCTTACAAATTTTTAACGATTTATGGAAGGACTGTATTATCCCACCAGAATGGAAAATGGATTGTTTGATTCCAGTAATTAAACCCGGTAAAGATCCTACAAATTTCGACTCCTATAGACCTATAACATTGACGTCCTGTGCAGGCAAATTATTCGAACAATTAATTAAACAGCGTTTAGAGTTCTTTATTGAAAGTAATAGTATATTACCATCGAATCATTTGGTTTTCGCCGTGGATATTCAGCGCGCGAAAGTTTAGCGAACTTCTATGTCGACCTTAGTACTGCTTTGAATAACGATGAATATGTTCTATCTGTTTTTTTAGATGTCGTAGGAGCTTTTAACAATGTAAATTTAACAGTTCTATCTTCGATTTTATCCTCATTTCTTCCAATGAAACTTATCGAATGGATTTATAATTTTCTTAGTAATAGAGAAGTGTATGTTAAAGTAAATAGTAAATTAATAGGACCTAGGTTAAGCTCTAAAGGAATATGTCAAGGTGGTATTCTAAGCCCGCTACTATATATTTTATATATCTATAAACTTAATTCAATTTTAGGAAACAGTGTGAACAACTTGCAATTTGCCGATGATTTATTAATTTATATAAAAGGAAAGAATATTATTGATATGCAATTAGTGTTAAATGAGTCATTAAAAAGACTTGAGAAATATTTTTCTCTTCTTTCCCTCGATATTAGTTTAACCAAAAGTAAAGTAGTTGTTTTTCATCAAGTTCATAAATATGTTCCATTAATGAATATTATATATAATAATCAAACTCTTCCAACAGACTGTAGCGTTAAATTTCTGGGGGTAATTTTTCATCAAAATTTAAAATGGGATCTATACGTTGATTGCTTAGTAGATCGTGCTTTAAGAGCCACTAATATAATAAGATCTGTAATTGGTCGTAACTGGGGAGCTGATCCTAAAATTATCCTTTTACTTTACAAATCTCTTGTTAGAAGTAATTTTGATTACGCTTTCTTTTGTTATGCCTCAGAACATAAATTAGTAGAAAAACTCGAAAAAATTCAAAATATGAATTTAAGACTTATTTTAGGTGCTATGTATACTTCTCCAATTATCTCAATGCAAGTAGAATGTAATTTGCCTCCTATCCTTCTTCGTTTCGAATACCTAAAACTCAAATTTCTCTTCAAAGTTTTTTCAGTTTCCAATAACCCACTCATACTCAAATTATTAAATTGCCCCATTTCTATGTTTTTGAATAAAACTATTGTCAATGATTTGAATTTACGAGATGAATATAACATCTATAGTAGTAAGATACTTCCTTGTTATAATGGCCTTTATGAGAGTAAGTTCTGTAAGATCAAAATTGTTATACGTAAAGACATAAAAGAAAAGCACGATATGTATGAGACTTTATCAGAATTTATTGACTACAGGCAGATATATACAGATGGTTCCAAAAATGCACTTAGCACGTCAGTGGCTTTTTACGATTTGTCAAATAGATTTGGTCACGGTTATAAAATTTCAACTTTGGCTAGTATTTACACAGCAGAAGCAAAAGCTATATTTTTAGCATTAGAATACATAGAAAAACAGGTACTATATTCGAAATGGATTATAATTACAGATAGTATGAGTGTTCTTATGGCATTAAAAAATAACACATTCATTTCATCATCAAACTACTTAATTCAAGAAATTCGTAATAAATATTATCATCTCTGTACTATATATGGAAAAGATATTATCTTCATCTGGACCCCTTCACATATTGGAGTGTTTGGGAATGAACAAGTAGACACTTTGGCTAAAATTATTAATTCAAGTGCTGCTCGTGTTCAAGATTTACCCCTTTGTTATTCAGATTGTAGTATTGGAATACATAAAATCGTTACAACTAAATGGGAGGAGCATTGGACTCAAATATTACAGACTAAAGGCAAATGGTACCGCAAAATTAATTGGCGTATTGGAAAACCGTGGTTCTGCAAAGGAAAGGACACAAACAGAAAATTTTACACCAATATTTGTAGATTACGAATCGGCCACGGACATTTCAACGAACACCTGCACCGAATGGGCATGATCGCTTCCCCATCATGCACATGGTGTAACTCAAATACAGCCCAATCTCTACATCACCTTTTTTTTTGATTGCTCTGAATTTGTCATTCAAAGACACATTATGTTTGACGAACTTAGGATTATCTTCAAAAAACCCGAAAATATCCCGCACTCAATCCCGCTTCTCTTAAGATTTCCTTCTTGTTTCAAAGCTATTTTCACTTATATTACTACAACATTCAAGGAGCTATAAGAATACTTTTATTGAATTGCAAGACAATGATTTTTTATAATTATTTATTTTTAATTTGATAAATCCACTGGTTTAAGAAAACTCAAGAAAAGATATTTATGAAAATGTACTTACCGGATTTGACAAATGAAATATTGAAGATTATGACAATAATTGAAGCGACATTAGAAAAATAAAATTCCAGACAAATTATCTTTTTGAAGACTAGGCAGCATGGTCTCCGACCTTAGCCTGTTCCAAACGGAACAAACGTACTAAAAAAAAAAAAAAAATATGTCATTGTCAAACAAAATGTCAATTGTCAAACTTTGCTATTATTGTGCTATTAATATTTTATTAATATATTAGAAATTTCTACTAATATATTTCTGTATTTTATATTTTGTTTTCGCAATATTAATAAATCTTAAATATAAAAAGAATTTCGAAATGAACTGTTCAAGATTAAGGAATAATATTATCACATAAAAGATAACGTTTAGTATTTTTTATAGTTTTTTTTTTTTATTTGGATGTAAGTTTTAACAGAATACTCTAAGAGAATATATTACTACTTATATTAGTAAGTAAATTATAACAGTACGTAATATTTAAATAAATTAAATCCTTGCTAATATTCTAGAACTTAAGCTTTTGCTTATTTTACGTTTCTTTAAGAATTTCTTTTTACATTTGCTTACTTTTTTTTCTTTTCAGTAGAATAGTTTTTCATTATGAACAAGGACAGCAACAGAAGTGCAGCAGGACTGGTAAGTAATCATTAAAAAAAAAACAAAATCTATTGCATGGTTACTTTTTTATTTATAGTATTGCACTATAATTGTCCTGACTGTTATTATATTAGCCTAATACTTTTAAACATTATCAGTTCCTCTGGACTTTCCTCTGTGCTCTTCCTACTATGTACAAACTACCTCTAATATCACATAAAACTGATTGAGTTTTATTTTTATTATTAAAAAATATTTTCATGTGTGTAAAACAGCGAACTGCTTTGTTATCTCCCCCATAAGTGGAGGGTGTTTGTATGTAAATTTCTTGATTTGTGCTTTAATGGCTGAACAAATTTGAATAAAACTTGGTAAACAGGATTTGTTCTAACTTAATACATAGGATATCTTATGTACTGATCAACATAGGCACAAATGCAGGAACTAGCTAGTAAAGAATACTCATTATTTTATACATTCTATTATTTACAGCGACGCTCAGCAATTGCTGAAAGGATTCGACTAAGAGAGGAATGGTCAGCCCTCAAAGGTACAGATAATGCCACTACATCAAAAAAGAAGACTACTGTCACAAGTATATTAGCCAAAAAGAGAATAGCTACCAAGAAAACGGTTTTAACGAATTCACAGAAAAACGAGGATACTGCAATTGAAGTAAGTAGATTAGTCTTAGGGCAGTCTTATTGCTAAAAATCAATCTCTTCCAGGCAACCTTATGATGGAGAGAAATAATAAAAATTGTGTCTGATCAATGTGTAACAGAGGTATACCTGATATTGGTACACTTGTGTAATGCACCTAACTTGTTTACAAACATGTTTGTAACATGTCTACAGACATGTTTGAATATTTGTTACTCAATCATACTGGTTGAATAGTTTAAAATAATTTTAATGTACAAATTGGCCATGTCTTAGACCAGGGCTGTCCAAACTAGATAGAATGTAGGGCTAATAAAAATTACTAAATTAATTGAGGGGCTGTAAAATATTTGGAAGAACAAAATTACAGCTATAACATCATTTTGTTATTGTATTTCATTCTTCATTAATTTATCTTTTACAATTCTGTCAACATCAATATTGGATTAGATTAGATGAAAAAGATTTGATGGACCACATCATTTGTGCCCCATGGACCATGGTTTGGACAGCCCTGTCTTAGACAAATGACTTACACCAAATGTGCACAGATAGATAAAAGTAAAATATCCCATCTTCCTTACTGATTATAAAGCTATCCATATAAATGAATTTGTTGTAAATAGCAGGATGCAGTAATAAAACATATATGTATTTATGATATAAAATAATAAGTTTAGTCAAAAGATACAAGGTACGTTTTATATAAAATCTGACATAGAACAAACATAAAAATAATATATTGTTCTAAAAAACCTCAGTGTCAACAGCCAGTATTAAAACTCCAACAGAATTCAAATTTGTCAAAATTGTCTTAATAATTTTTGAGTTTATTCATTATAAACAAAAAGTTCAAATCTTTCGTCTTTATTTTATTAGTATAGATTAACACGTAGGATATTACTTTTCATAATTCATGTGGCCTAAGTAATTATTTATATATTTAAATAACTTTATTAACCAAAATTAAATAAAATACAAAAGGCAAACTTAATGTTAGTAACATTCTCTACCAGTCAACCTTTGGGGTGAACAGTGAATCACGAATGTGGTACTTCATTATTGAAATAGATAAAGAAAATAACAATTAATAATTTATTACAAAATAAATAATATATACATAAATAACATAAAATAATGATTATAATATACATACATAAATGTAAAGGAATATATATATATATATATATACTCGTATATACAACTAGATAGATATATAAAATGTATAAATAATTATGAAGGATAATGACTAACTACTGTTTAAATATTTATATATATAATTAATTTTCATTTCACACACACACACACATACACGCACACACACATTTTAAGTTAACATGTAGGCTGCTGTTTTTTAATTTTAATTTTTTATTTTTTTTTTATTGTAGTTATTAGTTAGTATAGTAGTTAGTCGCTGGATACAAATTGTCTTCGTTGATGTAACAACTACTATACGTTTTAATTAGTCCGTTTTGGAATCCTGCAATGAGGAGGAGGGCGTTTGACATTCGCGACACAGTTTTATACTTCTGCGGATATCATCGTTTTTCAATAATACTGTAACCAATGTTTTTGTTGCAAATAAATTATTATTATTATTATTTACAGAATTTTGAAAAAGAAATGAAAGCAACCAGCGAGGTGTTGCACGGCGTCGTCGCGTTAGTGGAGGTTGGCAACGAGAAGAAAGCACTGGCACTCAGAGCGGCGCTGACCGCGTTGGGAGCCACGGTGGTGCCAACTTGGAGCCCCATTGTTACCCATCTAGTGTGGGCGCAAGGTAATAATATTCAAACTATTTTAATAACTAGTTTTACTGGTGATTTCGTCCGCGTGATCAGGATGTCGTCGGTACAATTCAAAATCAAATCAAATCGTCAAATAAAGTCTACTTTACAGGAGAGCAAAAAACTATATATACATATATATATATATATATATATATATATATATATATATATATATATATATATATATATATATATATATATATATATATATATATATATATATATAATATATATACACTTCGTAGAATCACAAAAAAAAATTAAATTAATAATCAGTCCCATTCATGATTCGTACCCGACCCAAAGGTCCCCATGACACTTGCGGCATTTCCGCGTTGGATCGCCAGAGATATCCTTTGAGCCAGATACGAACCAGAACGGCGGTCATGGCCCCTATCCGCAATGCGCAGGCTCAGCTCTTTTATGAAGGATTTTGCTTCCGCTCCCCACACGCCCGTAGTCTGGAAAGCAACGGGAACAAAGATGTAGGCTGGTTCGAGAATCTTATTAGGCAAAAGTATTTGAAATCAACTTATTGAAGAAATAAAAGATGATTTAAATTTTTTTTTTTTACTAATAATGTATTAGCTTGACTTCTGCCCTGCGGTTTAAAAATTACTTCTGCTTACGTCATCTTTCCAAGTCAGACAATTAACTACATACTCAAATAGAAGTTTTATTTTTGAATTGAATTCAAAAAGGGCTACTCCCCCCCCCCCCTCTTTTCTTAATTCGGTTGTTTCTTTTTATGTTTGTGCTACTTCAGTACTCAGTAATTTATAAAATTATTTGGTAAATTTTTTATCTGCATAAAAAACATCTAAAAAGAATTTATTTTCAAATTAATTCTATAGAAATTTCATCAAAATCAGTTCAGGGATTTGTTTTTAAAATCATATTAATTGTTTTTTTTAATGGATGATAATGGAATGGTAACCCCGCCCGCGCTATTCGGGGCACCAGTGAAGGATGATAGGCGAGGATGAAGCAGGTCAGTTAGCCCATCGAGACGAATTCAACAGGAATTGTTCATGATGGTTTGCACGGGGAACCACGTGGAGGTCGACCTAATAAGGCATATTGCTAGCAATGGGACTGTCAAACTCCATTGCTAACAATCCCTTTCCCCCCCTAATAATTGGTTTTGCTACTACTAAGGTGTGTAGATGATTTTTTATGTTTGTTTGCCATCAAAGAAGTATGAAAAAAATTCTTCACTGATCGGGATAAAAAGTAGCCTTTTTTCCAATGGGTGATAATGGTATGGTTACCCCTTCTGCGCTATCGGTATACACTGGCGGGGCACCAGTGATAGATGACTGATGAGGATCAAAGAGGTCAGTTAGCCCTTCGTGACGAATTTAACGCTAAATTAGTCACGATGGTTTCCAGGGGGAACCACGTGAAGGTTTTTATTTTTAATTTTTAATGGGTGATGATGGAATAATAACCCCGCCTGCGCTATCGGTATACACTAGCGGGGCACCAGTGAGTGATGATAGGTAAGGATGAAACGACAGGTCAGTTAGCCCATCGTATTGAATACACCTGGAATTCAGCCCGATGGTTTCCAGGGGGGATGGTTACCATGTGGAGGTCGCCCTGGTTGGGTATATTGCTAGCAATGGGGCTCTTAATTTCCATTATTAACACCCCCCCCCCCATGAAGGTTGACCTGATAGGGTATATTGCTAGTAATCGGGCTATTTGATCCCATTGCTAACAATCCGTTATCGGCAGGCGGGTGCCGGCGGGCGCGGTCGCGAGGCCGAGCGCTGGCTAGCCAGCTGGTGTCGCCGCTGTGGGTGGAGGCGTGCGCGGCGGCTGGTGCGCGGCTGCCCGCGCGGGGCTTCCCCGCCGCCGCGCGAGCCTCCGACCTGCCCTCGCCGCGCACGCTGCGCGTCCTGCTGGTACGTACACGCGCCACCATATATACATACAGCGTAGTAATGCGGACTACCGATCCCATTGCTAGCAATAAACCCTGTCAGGTCCACCTCCACGTGGTCCCCCATGGAAACCATCGTGCTGATTTTTTTTATTTATTTAAACTTTAACGCACAGTAAAATTCTATGTACATTTGGCGGACTTAACACCGGACTGTGTTCTCTACCAGTCAACCATTCCAATTGTATTTTCCTAGTGTATTCATCACGATGGGCTAACTGATCTGCCTTTTTATCGTCACCCATCATCTCTCACTGGTGCTCCGCCAACGTATACCGTTAGCGCAGGCGGGTTTACCATTCCATTATCATCTATTTAAAAAAAAATTATAATAATAAAAGAGGTAAGGAGTTCCAGAGACGGATAGCTTGGATAGTGAAAGAATAGGTATTTATTCTATTCTTATTATGCATTCACCATACTGCACACATTGCATGTTCGCGGTATGCTGCAATCCTTGTGTAATCCACACTCCTTGTATAAAAAGGCAAATTTTAAAATGTTAATTTTAATATACGAAATCTCCAGAAAAAGGCCGACATGGAGAACGTACCGATAGCCGATCTACTATCGGAATCCGAAGAGAGAGAACTGAAACCGGCGCGACTGCGGCTGTCGAGCGAGACGGAACGCGACACGTCGGCCGACACGTCGCGCGACACGTCTAAAAACACAACCAAATCGAGCGACACTTCCAAGGATGCCACGGGTGAGTTGTATCTTTATTAAAATAAATGTATTCCACGGTATTCTTCTATCGGAGTTTAAGGAGAAAGATTTGGAATTACCATGGCTGCATTCTAACTTCCCCTTGATTCGGTTTTTAGCGTTTTTTTTTATGTACTCACTTTTGACCTCCACAATTTTTTTTTAGTTTTTTATACAACTTAGAATGGCAAACAAGCTGACGGCCCACCTGATAGAAAGTGGTAACCGTCACCTATACACATGAGCAGTACCATGGACATAACAGAGTATACTGTTTCGCTCATGATACCCCCCATGCGTTGCCATTCCTGAGGACTCAGATGTTATTCCTCTGTACCCTGTTAATTCACGCCATATCCCACCATTTAAACCGAAACACAGTCATGCAAACACAACTACTTCACAGTAGAAACACGAATAGGACAGAGGTACCTAAGCAATCGACTTTTGTACAAAGTCTCCCTCTGGTAGACTAGACAGCGGCGCCCTTCTTAAAACACCATCAAAGCCTAACTGCGGTTGTAACACCAAGCATGGCAACTACTGGCAAAACTCCCCTTTTGAAGGTAGCCTATGTTTAGCAGGAGACAGTTAAAGCTTGATATGATGGATGAACCACTAAAAAGGCGGTTCATGTTCAAATGTCACAGATGTTGAATCCCGCGTGAACACAGCGCCCCGCCGGGCGATGCCCAAGTCTATGAGCACGCCGCGACCGCGCAAGTCCAAGAGGAAGCTGTTCACACAGCGAGACGCTGACCTCACCAAGGACTCTGAATCCGGTGAGAATTCTACACAACACTAGCTCTTGTCTATTACTAAGAACAAGGAATTACATAGAATGAGTGATAAAATTCTCAATTCATAGCAGGCTAGTGTATTGAAAATGTTATACGGCCATATAACCCTACCGTCGCCTATAGACATGAGCTGTACCATGGACATAACAGAGTATACTGTTTCGTCCATGATACCCCCATGCATTGCCATTCCTGAGGACTCAGGTGTTATTCCTCTGTACCCAGTAAATTCACGCCATATCCCACCCTTCAAACCGAATCACAGCCATGCAAACACAACTGCTTCACGGTAGAAACACGAATGGGACAGTGGTACCCAAGCAAACGATTTTTGTACAAAGTCTCCCTTTGGTAATGTTCTTGTTATAGTTACATATTGGTCCCATTTTAGTGGGGTTTTTTTGTAATGTACAATCTTTAATTGTGATTCACTTACAGCATAAATCCCTTTCGTTGCACTGTGTTTATGATATTTATACATTTTCATGTTTTCTTTATGTAGTCTTTATAGCAGTTAACATATTATATATTTTCATCATCATCATCATCATTTCAGCCATTATCCGTCCACAGCTGGACATAGGCCTCCCCCATAGACTGTCATAAGGAACGATCCTGAGTCGTCCGCATCCACTGGCTCCCTGCAATGCATTTGAGATCGTCTCTCCATCTCGTGGGTGGTGATCCTATATTGCGTTTACCTGTACAGGGTCACCTCTCCCTTCTTCACACCTTTCTTCCCCATCGGTTGTCGGTTCTTCGAGCTATGTGACCAGCCTATTGCCACTTCAGCTTGCTTATCCTTAAAGCTATGTCCGGTTATTTTGATTCTTTTGCAAGTATTGTCGTTCTTAACGGTTGACTGTCATGTCATCCGTTAGTCGTTCACTGCTGAACATCGGTCTTCCCCTAAGTGTTGCCAGTAGTTGCCACGCTTGACGAGTTGCCAACCGCAGTTGGGTTTTGATAATATTTTAATTACAGATCTATTTTTTTAACACGCCACCTACCTATTTATTCTTTAATTATTTTTACCCAAAGGTTGTCTGAAGAAAGGTTGTCTGGAAGAGATTGCTTAGCAATAAGACCGCCTTTTGTACTATACTTATCTAAAATTTCTCAACAGATGTTGTAATATTGGTGCAATAATTTTAAATAACTAACTAGAAACTAACGAACGAGGAAGTCCTAAAAAGAGTGAAAGAGAAGAGAACATTGGTTGAAATAATAGAGAATAGAAGAGGCAAAATGCTGGGCCACCTTATACGACATGACGATTTTTTAAGAGCATAGTAGAAGGAAAGATAGAGGGCAAAAGAGGAAGAGGAAGACCGAGGAATAACTACATGGGACAGATAAAGAAAACACTAGGTGTCATGTCGTATAGGGAGATAAAGGATATGGCCTGGGATAGAACTGGCTGGAAGAAGATGCATGAATTGGTTGCAACGACAAGAGGGAACTCTTAAATGAAAAGAAGTTTTAAATAAATAAATATTTATTTGTTATATGTTACTAAGTTTATTTATTTATCTATTTTGTACAACAGAATCTTATTAAAACAAAATATGGCAAGTTATCTAACAGTTAAACGTCGTTAATTCCAGATAACGAGCCGACGCTGGCTGGTCCCAAACGCGTGAACGCACCCAAGTTGACACAGAAGGACAGACGAGATCTGGCCCGCGCGGAACGGATAGCGCGACGATTGGTCGCCGGCTGTACGCCCGTCGCTACACAGAAAGTAGCCGTGAAATCGCTCAAACCGAGAATTGTATGTATATTAGATATTTTGTGCTAAACAGGCTGGCGGCCCATCTGCAGAACAGTGGTTTTTTATACAACTTAGAATGGCAAACAAGCTGACGGCCCACCTGATGGAAAGTGGTAACCGTCGCCTATACACACGAGCAGTACCATGGACATAACAGAGTATACTGTTTCGCCAATGATACCCCCCATGCGTTGCCATTCACATTATAATTTATTGTATTGTATAATTTATTATTATAGTTATTGGATGGTTGTAATATTCAAGTTAATGTAATGATTTTTGTATGTTTATCCCTTATTTCAGACACAGTGTACATTGTTTTTTTAATAAATGACTAATGACGTACGCATTCATGAACCTACTCACACGCACTTGTTCACCTTTCGCTTGTCCTCTCACCCATACTAGTACATACACGTAGATTATAAAATTTTCCTAATTTCATTTATTAACTTGTATATTCTCACCTTTATAGATCAAGTAAAATAGATGTCCTTGAGTTTGGGAGCCTGGTCATCTGTAAGACGGGTAATCCTAGTACCGACACCAGTCTCTCACAAAGATTGTTTTTAAATTGTAACCTTAAGCTGTAATATTTATAAATTTTATAAATTCATATCTTTTATTTATTATCATTACATCAGCCGTTGGCTGTCCACTGCCGAACATAGACCTCTGCTTGGGGTCTTCTGCCTGTAGTATATTATGTTCACGTACTGGCCACTAATAATTTTGTAAATACTGGCCGGTAACAATTGTTCTATTTGTTGTTCCAATGAATAAATTAGTGTTTAACCAACTCGCTTGCGTATCACTACACTGCCTAGTAGTAGTAGTTGCCTATTTGACAGGCGTATTTGGCAACCGCAGTTAAGGTATGGTGATATTTTATGTTAGACGCTGCTGACCATCACTCAACAGTTAATCTCTCTTATAAAGCTCTTAATCGCCTCTTACGACTCTCACAGAAAAGAGGGTACCAATTCTGTGCCAGGATTTTAATTATTATACTAAGTATGCATGGCTGTATTTCGGTTTGAAGGGTGGGATATGGCAGTGAATTTACAGGGTGCAGAGGCATAACACCTGAGTCCTCAGGAGTGGCAACGCATGGAGGGTATCATGGGCGAAACAGTATACTCTGTTATGTCCATGGTACTGCCTATGTCTATAGGTGGGCCGTCAGCTTGTTTGCCATTCTAAGTTGCATAAAAAAAAAAATGTTTAAATTGTTAGCTACTTAGCAGAATCCAGCTGTGTTTTGAACTACTGCTTTTACCATAGTCTGTGGTACACAAATAACTATTGATTACCTATAACCTTTGACCAATTAATTCCAGATACTAACAGGCATGGACCGTACGGAACGCCACACGGTATGCGAGGCGATACGCAAGCTAGACGGCCACGTACAGACAAGCGTCAACAAGCGTACCACGCACGTACTACTCGGCTCGTTCCGTGCTAACAACGTCCAATGCTCCGGACTATCCGTTATGAATAAACAAGAGAAATCATTAACCAGTGACAGTGCGCCAGTGAATAATGACCATAATACTAGTGTTAGAATAAATAATCGAGTGATAGATAGGCTTGGCAAAAATGCACGTACCTTCAACGCTTTAGCTGGGGCCGCTCGCGGCGCTAGAGTACTGTACGCACAGTGGGCGTTAGATTCCTTGGAAGCCAAGCAGTGGTTACATCACTACGGTTACGAAGTGCCACATTTGAAGAAAATTTCACTAGTATGTATTCACTTTTTGTCTATTCACTTTTGTGATGAGAATGGAATACCAACCCAGCTTGCCATATCGGTATACACTAGTGGGATAGCAGTAAATTATGACAATTGAAAATGTATGAATGATGTCATTATACGTAATACTGCAACGGGCAGCAACTGAGGCATTGATGGACGAACATGCAAATGTGAGCCGAGGCATAGCCGAGTATAGAAATCATAGAAGACTCCATGCTACTGTATTGAATTGTTTATATGTCATTGTTTATTTTTATGTCTTTGGTGCAATAAAGAGTTAAATAAATAAATAAATATGGTCAGTTGATCCATCGTGACATATAAACCACAATGGTTTCCAAAAAGAACCATGTGGATAACATCTTGCTAAAGTATATTGGTAGCAATGGTATTGTTACTCCTAATTGCTAAAAATGCCCCCTCCCCCTTAAAGATTGTTTTAATGGATGATAATGGAATGGTAACACCGCCTGCGCTGCCGGTATACGTTAACAGGGCATCAGTGAGAGACGATAGGTGAGGATGAAAGCAGATCAGTTAGCCTATCGTGAGTAATTCCACAAAAATTACGATGCTTTCCAGAGAAAAACGCGTGGAGGCCGACCTGATAGGGCATATTCGCTAACAAGACGCTCGCAGACGATTTTTAAACATAGTCACCCTCTGGTAAGAATTGTTTAAATGTATAATAATTATTTTATTTCCCTTCCAGAAAGCACGCGTCGAACGTACAGCTCTCGGGAAGTGTCACTCTGAATACGCATACGACATCTTTAGTGGCATGCGCGTACTATTAAAAAGTACAGCTGAACAAAGGGACGCCGCGAAACAACTGCTAGAACTGTGCGGCGCGGTTGTACAAGATGGCGGACACGCACAAAATGGCGGCAGTTTTGACATCACTATCGGCGCGGGAAATGGTGAAGTGAGCTCGAAGTGGGTGTTCGATAGTGTTGCTTCAGCGAGAATGAGGACTATAAGGCGTTATGTGGTGAGTGGGGTGGGTGGTAGGGATGTGGGGACACAAGAAACGATTAGGTAATGTGCGGTGCTCAGTATTGTTGGGTAATATTATTGTTATAATGTCTATATACCGACTCAACAATGAATAATTATTGTTGTATATCTATAATCCAATATTTAATGTCGAAATTAAATGAATTTATTTTGCTAGAATGTAGGTAATTTTAGATGATAGAGTTTTATATTTTCTGTGTACATTCTGCCTCTATGTCGGCGTGCAAATTTTTAGCAGTATATATAGGTATACATATATATAATATATGTAAATTTTATTTGTGAAATGGCGCGAAATCGAATGAAGTTTTTAAAATAATAAACGTGTTCCAAATTCAAAATAATTAAAGAGTTAAAAAAAAGTCTTTATGTAACAGTATTTATAGCCAGACTAGTTATATCAATTACTAGCGACCCGCCCCGGCTTCGCACAGATGTACATTACATCACATCACATTAGAAACCTTAAAAATTATCAGTGTTTCTCTATTATGCATGTATTATAATATTAAACCTTCCTCTTCAATCACTCTATCTATTAAAAAAACCGCATCCAAATCCGTTGTGTAGTTTTAAAGATCTAAGCATAAATAGGGACAGACAGACGAAAAGCGACTTTGTTTTATACTATGTACTGATAATTACTAGTACCGCATTCGAGTATTCTGACGCTTCCCTAATGTTGACTGGGAGAAAATGCTGTTAGCATTAAGCCCGCTATGTACACATATATGTACTAATGAATAAATAAATAAATAAATATCACATCTCCCATATTTAGAACTAACAAAATTTTTCATCGTGCCTCCCACCAAATTGTTTATAATTACTCCTCTCCATCCAAAGGTTGCCTGGAAGAGATCGCTCTTAGCGATAAGGTCGCCCATTGTTTTCTCATTGTGATTATTTCTTGTAATTATTTATATTTATAATAAGTTTACTATTATAATCTTTTGGAGGAAACAATAAAGAGTATCTATCTATCTATCTAAATGTACCTACATATCCAGCCGTCAAAAACATATACATATGTATTAATACATAACAAAGAAATAATTGTTCACTGTGATATGTTATAATTTCGTTAATATGTTCTTGGAATTGTGAATCATATGATTTTTTAATGTATTATCACATACCGTACTGTATATAGTGTAATAATATACTGTGACGTCCATGCATTTGTTAAGGTAACGTTTACCACTCTCTATTGTATAAAAATTAAGGAATACCTATTGTATAAAATATATATACATGTGGGAAAATGTGATCTAATTTTTACTATTAATGCATGATTTTTTTAATAAAATTTTAATATATTATTGTTTTTTTTTTATTGTTTATTTTTATGCAACTTAAAATGCTAAACAAGCTGGCGACCCACCATACTCTGTTGGACTAACAGAGTATACTGGAGGAAAGGGATTGTTAATAATGGCCTAACAGCCCTAATCTAACAGCCCCATTACTAACAATATACCCTATCAGGTCGACCTCCACGTGGTTCTCCCTGGAAACCATCGTGGTTAATTCTTGCGAAATTCGTCACGATGGGCTAACTGGCCTGCTTTCACCCTCGCCTATCACCCCTCACTGGTGCTCCGCCAGCGTATACCGATAGCGCAGGCGGGGTAACCATTCCATTATCGTCCATTAAAAAAAAAACAGAGTATACTGTTTCGCCCATGATACCCCCAAGCGTTGCCATTCCTAATTGGAGACCTGCCAACATTTCCCGATGAGGGGGGATTATTAGTAATGCGGATTACCCGTCCTATTGCTAGCTACTATATACTATATATATATATATATATATATATATATATATATATATATATATATATATATATATATATATATATATATATATATATATATATATATATATATATATATATATATATATATATATATATTTCATATGGCATTAAAAAGTTTACTCTCAGATAGTAACTACAAGTGCAACCGTAATCATAAAAGCGCCCCTCAGGTAGGTAGGTTTGGACCACATGAAACCCGACACCTGTATATATATATGTATACTATACTAATATATATACTGTATATATATATCTGGTACACCAGAGGGAGACTTTGTACAAAAGTCGATTGCTTGGGTACCTCTGTCCCATTCGTGTTTCTACCGTGAAGCAGTTGTGTTTGCATGTCTGTGTTTCGGTTTGAAGGGTGGGATATGACGTTAATTTACTGGGTACAGAGGAATAACACCTGAGTCCTCAGGAATGGCAACGCATGGGGGGTATCATGGGCGAAACAGTATATTCTGTTATGTCCATGGTACTGCTCATGTCTATAGGCGACGGTTACCGCTTTCCATCAGGTGGGCCGTCAGCTTGTTTGCCATTCTAAGTTGTATAAAAAAAAAATACAAAATAAATTTATAATAATGATTCTAAAAGGAAAGTCTAAACATTCATCACAGATATAAAGCGATTCAGAAGCGGCCGACATAACAAATAACTACGAACTATACTATAAAGACATGATAAATATGCCATTTATCATGTCTCCTCAATTTCAAAAAACTCCTCTTGTCTATCTATCCTATTTAAGAGCTGCGCTCTTGTCGCTGGAGCATATATATATATATATATATATATATATATATATATATATATATATATATAGGTGGTGAAGGGAGCTAATATTTTATATTGCTAGCAATATAACATATCAGGTCGACCTCCACCTGGTCCTCCCAACAATCGTGCTGAATTCCAGGTGTATTCATCACGATGGGCTAACTGACCTGCCTTTTCATTCTCACTTATCATCTATTAAAAAAAGCCCCTTTGTTTGAAAAAGTAACAGCTAAATTTCTCGTCCGTTCGTCTCAGCTGTAACTTTATTTCAAACTGGGCGGTAGATTCGTAATAATTGACTATCAATTTAATATCAAATACTGGTGCTTATTTCCAATTAAGTTTACTCGAAGTTATTTTTTTCAGATAATTATTTTCTATAAGTTGTTTTTACTCGTGACTTCATGACTTGACCGGGATAGAGTGAAGTTTATCCATCTTTTAACCAAATACTATGTGTATGCCAAATTTCATGCCAAATGATTAATGATTAAAGTGTCTTGAGATAACAATCATACATTTTAATTCAAGAGATCGCTCTTAGCGATAAGGTCGTAATCTTTTGGAGGAAACAATAAAGAGTATCTATCTAAGTTGTATAAAAAAAAATGTAAAAATTGAATATCTCAGTAAAACAACGTATGGTGGTTGATGATGATGATACAGCAGTTAAAGGTCCACTGCTGAACATAGGCCTTCCACTTATGGGACTTTCCCAGTAGTAACCGCGCTTGGTAGGCGGATTGACCGTAGTTTTTTTTTTTTTTATGGGTGAAAATGGTATGGTAACCCCGCCTGCGCTAACCGGATACGCTGGCGGAGCACCAGTGAAGGGTGATAGATGAGAATGAAAACAGGCCAGTTAGCCCATCATGATAAATTCATCAGGAATTAACCATGATAGTTTCCAGGGGGAACGGCGAGGAGGTCGACCTGATTGGGTATGTTGATAGCAATGGGGACTGACCCCCCCCCCCCCCATTACTAACATTCCCTTTCCCCCTCGATACAGCAATTAGAATGATGAGTAAAGCTTAAAGAAACAAACCTTATCGCGTACTTATATATGTACATAGTATGATGTCTATTCTAAATCATTTATGTATGCGATGATAGCTGTGTATGGGTGTGCCTTTGTCTCCCAACTAGGGCGTAACACATGTATTGTGTTGTGTCACGCAATATTTAAGTCACAAACAAGTAGGTACAGTCACGTAATATCTACGTCACTGATGCAGTGAACTTTTACATAATTCATATTTACGATGGACCAAGTGATGGATACTTGGGTCCAAGGAGGAAAATATTCTTGGAACAACTTTTGGATCCGCGGGGAAAGAGATTGTTAGCGATGGAGTTTGACAGCCCCATTGTTAGCAATTTGCCCTACTAGGTCGACCTCCACGTGGTTCCCCCTGGAGACCATTGTGAACGATTCTTATTGAATTCGTCACGATGGGCTAACTGACCTGCTTCATCCTCACCTATCGTCCTTCACTGGTGCCCCGCCGGTGTATACCGTTAGCGCGGGTGGTGTTACCATTCCATTATCACCCATAAAAAAAAATTGGATCCTAACGAAGAACTACTATCACCATCGTCAACAAAATGCTTGAAGCCGAAGCCTCAGTTGAATTTGTCCATAACTATTTAAAAAAAAATAAGTTGTTTTTTTTATTTCATTTTGTTCAATATCAAGATGTAGGGCTTCATTCCTTTGCCTTTCCCATTGCAGATAAATTAATAACTACTACTTTAGTTTTTTTTTTTTTATAGGTAGGTACTGTGTGATTTATCAAATTTTATCTACCTACCTTACCCATGGAAAAAAAGGATCAATAAATTTACGTAGATGTTTCTAAAATTTCTAATTTAAGTTCAGAATTAATAAATATAGATTGGATAGGGGGGGGGGGGGGAACACATTGTTAATAATGAGCTTTAACAACCCCACGCGGTTTCCCCTGGAAACCATAATGGTAAATTCTTGTGGAGTTCATCTCGATGGGCTAACTGATCTGCTTTCATCGTCACCTATTATCCCTCACTGGTGCCCCGCCAGTGTATAGCAATAGCGCAGGTGGAGTTACCATTCTATTTTCGCTCATTAAAAAAAATACCCACGGAAAAAAAATCAATAAATTTACATAGATATTTCTATAATTTCCAATTTAAGTTCAGCTTCAGGATAAGACCAATATTTAATCTATTTAGGTGAAAATTATGTTTGAATTATTCTCCAATGAGTTGATACATTAAAATAAAGTAAAACCTTTCATTTCTAAATAAATGCACTCAAATGTTAAGATATCTGCGAATTGGCTATTCTATTACCTCTTTACATTAAATATAAAAACCGGATAATTAAATTTCTGTTTCGCCAAAGGTTGACTGCGAGAGAACGCTATATAGTATTAAGTCCGCCTTTTGTACCAGACATTTTTTGCAATGTGGTCAATAAGAATAAATAAATAAATATATAACCATTACAATTTTATTATGAACAGGCGCTACTTAAGGGATCGACCTTAAGTCTTAGGCGAGAGATTTGTCTCCCTTTCTGTGTTCTACCGCTTGTATAACAGATTGTGTTCTGAGGAATTGTTTGAAATGATGCCCACAGCCACCTTTGTCACCATCGACAGGGGATTCATCCTCACACGCTTGAACCTTAATGGTCACGTACTGTGTGGTTTCAAAGGAATTTTCTCCCGCGAACGCTCAGGCTGTGGAAAGAGCTTCCGGCGGAGGTTTTCCTTAGAAACTACAGTATGGGGATTCTTCAAAAAGGGTATATTAAGGTTTCTTCAGGGTCGGCAACGCGCACGTGATACCCCTAGTTTTTTTTTTTAATAGATAATAATAGAATAGTAACCCCGCCCGCGCTATTGTCATACGTTTATAAGGCACCAGTGAGAGATGATAGATGAGTATGAAAGCAGACGAATCCAACAATTATTATTCACGATGGTTTCCAGAAGGAACCACGTGGAGGTCGACCTCACAAGGCTTGCTAACAATGGGGCCATTAGCTCCCGTTACTAACAATCCCTTTCCCCCACACCCCTACTGTTGCAGGCGTCCATAGGCTACAGTGATCGCTTACCATCAGACGAGCTGTGTGCTTGTTTGCTACCTTTGTGGTAAAATCTTTAAAATTAAACTTAGGCCTAACTTTCGCCTATAGACGTGAGGGTAGGTTCACAAAATAGATCGTTTTTCTTTTATTTCTTTATGAATAAATATAAAAATCATAGCAGAAATAAATGTATTACACATGTACACACACGTAGGTAAACAGTAATTGTTTGCAGATTTGCACTTTGTTTGCAAAGTTGAAGTATCATCGGCCATTGTTTTTTTATCCTTAGCCTACCTACGTATAGAAAGAAATGTTGTGACTAATTTATTGTTAACTAAATGTACCCTGTGACTTTTTTTTATACAACTTAGAATGGCAAACAAGCCAATAACGGCCAACTTGATGGAAAGTGGTAACCGTCGCCTATAGGCATGAGCAGTACCATGGACATAACAGAGTATACTGTTTCACTCCTGATACCCTCATGCGTTGCCATTCCTGAGGACTCAGGTGTTATTCCTCTGCACCCAGTAAATTCAAGCCATATCCCACCCTTCAAACCGAAACATAACCATGTAAACACAACTGCTTCACGATAGA